CAACCCAGCTAAATATTGAGATTTACCAGTTATTTTATCCAAATGCTGTACTTTTGGCAATGTCGTCTTCCATTCCTCCTTGGTAATATGAAGAAGAGAACTCATAAGATTAGCTTCATATTCTAGAAAGTTCATTCAGTTGGGGTAAGTGACTTGGCAGGGAAGGTAGAAAAACATGTCTATGTAGTTTTTAGAATCTTTTAAACATATTTAAGCCTTTCTTTTTTTACAGTTCATTATATTTACCACTTTCCTTTCACTTAGTAAAAATACTTAATGACATCTTAAAGGTCATCATAGAAGTAATAATAAAAGATAGTCCTGGCTTCTCCTGGGAGACTTTCTACTTTTTATTACTGAATTTTAAAAAATTAAAGTAAAAAGCCTAAATTCTTACTGAAATATATATTTATTTTTATATTACTAATATGGTTTTCTAATTATCACATATGAATAACCAAACATGATTGGCCTTGTATTTGGGTAAAAGTTTCTTTTTTATCCCCTTATGAAAATATCTCTATAATTACCCGACACCAAAACTTATTCTACTATTAGAAATGAGGCTTTAGATTTAATATAAAGTCTCCATCCAAAAACACTTTAAAGCAGTTATTGAAATGAGATAACCATTATCAGACATGAGCACCGTAAAGAGAATTAGTTTATCAAATGTGTTTCACTGATAACGCAGTTCATGTAGGTTACTGAGAAAATGAGACTCTTAACAGAGGTAAGAAGACACTAAGAAAGAGATGAGAACCAGGCTAGGTAAGATTTTAATTGGCAGGTACCAGACATCCAGGAGTAAACAGGGTTTTTTGTCTATCAGGGAATCAGGGGCCAGTATAAGGTAAGAGGACAAATCAGAAAAGCAGGACAAAGATGATCACAATTTTTTTCTGGGTCCATTCCCAAACTTTCCAGGGTGCACCTTACAGAGAAAATTATTATCCTTATTAAAACAGTGAAGAGCTGGGAAGCATTCTAGAACGAGCACAGACTCTAAACACTCCACATCTCACTCCTCTAGTTAAGTACAGCTGAAAATGCTGTTATCAAACTTACTGCAGTCTCTAAAAACAAAACTACTACTGTTGAGGGTTCTAAAAAGTACAGAGAAATGGGAAGATTGCAGGCCCGAGCTGAAATTTGCAGAAATACCTGGAGGAGATTCCCGTGGTTTCTTCCTCATTCTTTGCCCCTAAGGGTGAATTCCAGTCTGAGAGTGGGTGGACAGTGGCAGCAGACACAAATTCCCAATGGAACTCCATATTTCTTGCCACAGAAATAAAAAAAAGTAGGTCCCTTGGGTAGAAGAATGTAAGGAATCCCAAAGCATGGAGAGCTAGAAGAGGGACTCCCCTTCAGTGTTGGGGAACCTATGGTACATGTGCTGCAGAGGCATGCAGAGCCCTCTGTCCACACACGAGCCAAGCCACCCCAGCAGCTGGGCACCAGTACTCAGGTTTGATTGCAGGGCTGGGACTTTGCAATAAATAAGTGGGTTTGGGTTGCAGTTCAGCCACTCCATCTCTAAAAGCTTTTCCCTCACTGCAGGTCTCTAGCTACACAGGCTCAGCTACACTTACCCCCTGGGGAAGAGAAGGACTCGAGTGGATGGAGGCTTTGCAAATAAACTAAGGTTTGAACCACAGCTGAGTAAGACTCACATTACTGATATATAACTCAGGTTCCAACTGCATTGAGAATGCCTTGAGAACTGAACTGAGATTTAAGCCACTGCTAGAGAAGGCAAGACAGATGGAACATGTGGTCTTAACCTAGTTGAACTGTTTGTCTTGCAACACCATCCTTCTCCAGAAAATTACAACCAGACCCAGGACTTACCCAGCCCATTTTCATTGTCCAGGATAAAATCCAAAGCTACTCAGCATGCCAAGAGCTAGGAAATACTGAGCAATCCTCCAGGAAAGAGACAATGAGCAGATGCCATTCCCAAGATAGCAGGAGAGCTGATTATGGAGCAGACTTCGAGGCAGCTATGAGAGTGAGGCTCCTCGAGCTGAAGGACGGCGTGTGTCAGTGACTGGAAGAGTGTGAGGAATGTGCACCATGAACAGTGATCGAATGGAAACTTTTGAACCAAAAATCTGAAATTTCAAAGTTATTGGATGAGCTCAGTAAGAGCCAGGCGATGACAGAGAAAATCGAATGAATTTGAAGAGAAATCAGTAAAAATGATCCAGTCTGCAGAAAAGAGGGAAAAATATTTTTAAAACTTAGCAGAGCTGAGAGACCTGTGGGATATTATCAAAGGGTTTATATACATGATATTGGATCCCCAGGAAAGAGGATTGGGGTATTTTGAAAAAAAATAATGGCCAAGGCTTGTACTTCTGATAAAGGATATAACATATCCAAGAAGCCTAACACTACTTTATTGGAAGACAATGATCTATGGCATTTCCACACGTTTTCTATTAGCTTTATTTCGGGTTATCTTTTCAAAACATGTTTAGTATAATAACCTCGGATGATACAGATAGTATCTCCCTGGGAGGCAGAGGGCCGTCTCAGGACTATTGCAATAAAAAATAATGTCCCCTGTGGGCAAATGCTGGGCAGGTTTGTAATCAGTTGTCCTTAAACGGTGAGGCTTTCCTCAGCTACAGCTCTCGTGGGCTGCTCCACACTGCACTGTGGGTGTTAGGAAGGGCAGGCCACGTGGGTATGGGGCACCTGCCCATGCAGCTCATGAACAGCCAAGCTCCATGTCTCTTCCCAGGGAGGGCAGCATCTCAAGTCCACATCAGGCTGACCTGACACCTGGCCAGCAGGGCAAAATCTCAGACCTGTCAGAGCTCTCGCTCCCAAACAAGGTAATTTCAAACAATAATGATAAATAGTTCCTAGACTCATTAGAATCTAAATTCGGAATGCATGCATAAAGAAAAAATCTTGAAAGTAGCTAGAGTAAAGAGTATGACATCCAAAAGATCAATGATTTGAATTGCACGGGTGTCTCGCATCAGAACCAATGGAGGCCAGAAGGCAGAGGTACGGTATCAAACTGCTGAAACAGGCAAGCATCAACCCAGAATTCAATATTTAACATACATTAAGTAGAAATGGTGACATCTTAGATGAAGAAAATTTATAGACTTCAGCTGCAGCAAACACGATCTACAGGTAGGGATCGGACCTTCCCACCGTAAGGGGAATGTTACCATGGGAAAACCTGACTCTGTAGAGATAAAAGAAGAATAATAGAAATGATAAATATATGGATTAATTTAATTATTTTTTCCTTTTGAATTCTTCTGAAAGCAAAAAATTAACAGTCTGTGATGGGATTTTTAATGCATGTAGATGGTATACACATAATAGCTATAATATAAAGAAAGGGTTAAAATATATAATATAATATAATATATAATATAAAGGAAATGGGTTAAAAAGAGTTATATATTGTAAATTTTCTACATTTGACACGAAGTGCTATAATATTAACCATAGCAGATTATGAAAGGTTAGGGATGGACAGACACTTCGGTTAATGACTGACTAGGTCATTAAATGAATTGGTCCATAGATTAGGAATCGAATGTAGTATGTACGTTACAATATTCAGAACAAAGAAATGGTCAAAGGAAACTCCAACTCGATGGCTTTGCTTCTGTTCTGTAACTCTTACATGCAGTACTGTAATGTATAACAGAACATAAAACTATAGGACTGTGCTGTACAGTGCAACCAGAAAAAATGATTACTGTCTAAATAAGGTGCACTGCACAGAAAAGACAGGGGCTCTGTGAATGAGATGTACAGACTGCACAAAGGAAAAGCAAGACTGATGTACATCTGAGCAGCGAGTCGTCAGTCCCAACAGCACACCGTGGTTCTAAGTCCAAACAGTGGTTAAACAGGTAAGTCATTAAACATGGAAGGTCTAAAAAACAAGGGATAGGCCAGGGATTTAGCTCTCATCACCTGCCTCGAAAGCACAAGGTCCTGAGTTCGATCTCCAGTACCAAAAAATATAAAACAAGGGGTAGAGAACAAATAGCAAAATGGTAGACTTACATCCAACCATTCAATGAACAGTATTAAAAGTTAACGGTCTACTTCCAAAACTAAGAAAAACAAACTCATAGATGGAGAACTAATCTTGAAACCAGACCAAGACATTGACATGAGCTCAACTTTAAGTCACAGGAAATAAAATAAATTTCAAGGTTTTACATTTAATTAGAAATGAAAATTTTCATACGTGACTATATATGTTGATAATATTACCAAATAACAACGGGGATTTCTCTAAACAGGAGGCATTTTAACCTAAAGAGTTGGGTAAAACCTGATAGAAACAGAATGAAAATATAAATTTTAGAAGAAAGAGGAACAGTGTAAAGTTATTGTTAAAAAAGAACTTGCTCCAGCGTTTTGACTGGATGACAGCAAAGTCAAGTCATAATGACCGGCCACACTTTAAGTGTTCTAATGGTTTCTCTAGATCAGTATTTGTCATGTGCTGGAGATTATCTTGGCAATTATTGGGGTTAGAATAATTTCTTATTTTGGACATGACTTTAAATGTAAGATAGGGTCTACAGAGCTTGGGGACCATTTTGAGGTTATTCACGTAAAAGAACTCGCAGGCTGCTGGAGGGAGAGTTCAGACAGCTGAGCTCTCCAGGGCAGAACCGGAGGACAGGAGGGGGAAAAGCATGAACCCTGCAGCCAGCGGAACCCGACAGTGGAGGGGCGGCCCCGCAGTGGGTGGCCGTGTGCAGTTTCGTCTCCTGCGTTTTCTCACTGATTCTCTAATCAGTCAGGAGTTGTAATCTCTGTAGTTCGTTCTCTTGTCCAGCTGGAGCGGCGTCTGACTCAGGCGCCCTTGGGGGTCTGGCCCACCAGGCCAGCGGCCAGGGCCTCCGGGCTTCCACTCCTGGCCAGGAGCACCTAGCTCCAGGCTGCTTCTGAGAGCCAGGGCCTCGGGCCCCTCCCGGGAGCAGCAAGACCCGCTTTCCCTCTTGGGGCTGACTCAGAGCTGCTCCACTCCGCCCCAGCCTCTGTGCTGTTCCCTCGCCTTTCCGTCCTCACGGCTGAGTCTCCCCTAGGCCCCTCTCCTGGAAACGACCGCACCCTTCAGCTAACTCGCTGCACTCCTGTTTCTGTCGAGGTTCACGCCCAACGGCGGAGGAAAACACAAGTTTTCACAGGGCTCATCCCCTTCCTAAACCCCAGCAGGACTCTGTTTCTGCCCCTCAGCCCTCCTCTGGACAAGCTGAAGTCCTGGCGCTTTAAACAGCAACATTGCCACCATGCGCAGGCTCCGCCGCCCTTTAACTTGGGCTACTTGGTGCAGAGCGCAAAGCTCACATTCTGTTTCCCGAAACTCAGCTTCCATCCACACCCGATCAGGTCCAAGCTACTTCGGCAGCATTCACGCAGCTCCCATCAGCGGCCAGCAGGGGGCCCGTCCGGCCTCCTCCCTGCACCGTCCCTCCCGGCAGCGCCTTCCCGTGCACACCCGCCGCACGCTTCGCCTCTGCAACTTAACTACACGGATCCTACTCACACTTCTGCTTCCTGGCACACAGGAACGGCCGCATGTGAGTTCGCTGCACACCTGTGAACCTCGTGCTCGGGGGAAGGGAAGGGGCGCGGGGCTGAGCAGACTGGGGCCGAACCGCAGGGCGAGGCCACTCGCTTAACCGTTGCAGCAAACCCTCGGTTCCCTCACCTATAAAATGGGGTTCATAACGCTCACCTTATCATGTTGGCAGAGAAAACAAGTGAGATGATTTATGTAACACACCTGGCTCAGCACCTGGCGACATAAAAGGTTGAGGACGAGTCTTTGAAATGCAGTTCTCCAGATGTGGTTTTACAGCTCAGCCCATTGCTCGTGACTAATGGAGGATTTGTTTAACCCCCTTGAGGAGCTCCCTCAGAGGCCAGCGGATGATTTTCTGCAAACAGTGGATAGCTATTCCGAGAACTTTCTCCAAACGTGTGTGGATTGGCTGAACGCAGTGTCATGACCACGCGGGCAGCGGAGGTGCCCTGGCCCGGGCCCCTGGCCTGGCGACAGAGCATTCCTGGAACCTTCTCCCGGTTAGCTCGGACGAGGAACTGCATCTTCTGGGCCTTTGCCTTTGTGCTTGAAACTTTGGGTTCTTAATGCAGTGTTTTCTGTACTGTTATTCTTCACGGCAATCTTGTGTTTGTGCTAAATTCCCAGGAGCGTGTGACCTGCCCCAAGTCACAAAGTGAAAATGAACAGGCAACCAGAAATTGTGTGTTCTGTGGGTCTTGTGCGGGCGTTGCTTCCGCACCCTGTGGCTTTGTGACCATGCCTGCCCAGGAGTCCCGGGGAAGGGTCAGGCAGTCACGGGGGCTGGAGGCGGGACCTGGGCGTCGGCACCCGGCCGGCCGGGCAGATGCAGGACACAGTTGGAGCGAGGTGGAGCTCAGCTGCGCCTTGTGAACAACTCAGACACAGGCGGTTACCTCTTCTATTGGTCAGCGCTCCGTCAAATGCTTTCTTTTTATTTTTATTTTTATTGGCACCTGTTGAAGCACATAGCAATTACATCTATCAGGGGGAGTAGATCGAGTGCTACTAAAGCGCAGGGTCACATACCGAATTTAATTTGCTCCCACTACAAGCTCCATGTCGGAAGGAGTGTGCTTCACCACCAAAGCCCTTAATGGGCAAATGTAAATACTTACTTCATCTCAGTGCCCTTCGTAGGAGTATATTGATGGCAAATATTTTTTTTAAACTTTGAAAGAGGTAATTGCATTTCCATGAGAAATTTATATTGAAGCAGATAGAAAAGGGAAAATTCAATGTTGATCTTCACATTTCTAAGACAAATTTCCCACAATCCAACCATGCAAAAATTTTCATTATTCATTAACATTTTTATGAATTTTTTCATTCATTTTTCTGCTTGTTTAGAAGATATTTGCAGTAATTGTTGAATTTTATACCCTTTTTCTTCCAATGAATCATGACCTGAACACTGTATCATTAACAAACCTTCTGTAGACATAATTACAATAATTCCACAATATTTTATGTGTATACATAGTCTGCTCTATGCTTAGTTATGATGCTTTGTGTACAAATAGTTTGTGTTCTCAAATTCATCAACATTTCTGATTATTCCCTAGTACAGAGTTAGAATGGTCCAAATGTTCTCACATTTTACCATTCACGGCATTATGGTTTGTGGTTAACAGTGTGAAGTTTTAAAGTCAGGTGTGCACACCATGGATAGAATTCTGAGGCTACCAGAAGTGTGGGATTTCTGCTATTGTGCACATTGCCTAACCCTGTGGCCCAGTTTCTTCATCTGCAATGCAAACACCATACTTCCCAGGATGCAGTCCTAGGAGCACTAAGCTACATAACAATGCTTACACCGCAGTGATCAAAAGCTTGACTACCTGATTGGCATCCTGGTTCATCCAATGACTAGTTGTGTGCTCTTGGCTTAATCTTTTCATGTTTCAGTTTCCATGTTTCTGGAATGGAAAGATAACAGTACCTACTTCCTAGGATCATTTCACAACATCAACAAGCTAATACATGGAAGACAAACCAGGGCTTGGCAGACAGAGAGCGTTCGGTAAATACCACCTCTGTCGCTGCCCCAGACGGTTCTGCCTGGCCTTCCCAAATGGCTGCCATGCTGCTACTGTAGTAAATGTTTATCATAAATTTTTTTCTCAAAGGAGTAGTTATATTTCTTTACAGCCAACTTTAAAATACACACATGTTTTATCTACTCTGTACAACAGCAAAACAAAAAGCCCAGCAATTTGAGGGACTGTTGCAATTTCACTTCCCAGCAGTGCTCAGAGTAATAGGGTCTTTGGCTTGGGGAAAGAGTACCGCTTTATTGTAGTTGATCATCTCCCTTCTAGAAAGGTGAAACAGAATGGCCTCTTAACTCAAGCACAATGAACCCACATGCTGAAGGCCATGACCTCCTTCCTTGGTGTGTTCTTCGCCCCCTCACAGGGCTCTCACCGGGCCCCCTGCCCCTCTGGGGGAGAGAAGGAGCAAACTGGCCTCACTGACAGCAGCTTTCTGCCTCCTAGCAGAACAAGGCTTGAGCTAGAAACTGGATGAGAACTTGAAGAACCCATCGTGTGCTCACTGATTGGAATTATAAACTAGGGTTCAAGGTGGGAAACAATCCCTGCTTCAGAGACCAGGGTTCCAATTTTGGGGGCTGTACCTTAGAATGTGGGAGCCACCATGTGGGAACCGTGATCACCCGCACACTTATGTAGTTGCACATGGGCACATACATGTGTGGATACGTATCTGCGGAAGGCGTGGATGGATTGTGCAAACTGAAGCACAGGAAGTCGTTAGTAATCAACCTAGGCAGCACTTTAAAGTACAACGGGACATGTTTTAGAATTAAGTGTCATAAAGAGAGACTACTAGGGCTGGATTTGCCACTGGCCGGACACAGCTGCAGTGGCCCATGAAGGCCAAGAATTGATTCACGAAGGGGTGAGCAGGTGAATCAGTACAGAGGACAAAGGATGCTGCAACTCAAATAACCCTGTGTCAATCCAAGGCACTTTCTCCCGCGCTCTTTGTAAGCATCACGTCTGGCATAGTAACTACGGACAGCATATGATGGATGGGAGAGGTGGATGGAAAGGAAAGGTACCAAGAACAAACAGAATTGAATCTGAAATGCTGAAACACTTTAGCCTCCACCTAAGGGTTAGTTTTCACTTAAAAGAAGATTTTTAATTTTTATTTTAATACAGACTGGATATTTATGGAGAGTTTACAATATTTGGAATTGGGTTTAAGCATGCTTATATGCATTTTTGAAAAAAAAAAAAATCCCCATCCAGGCCGTTTGATACCTTGCCCTGTAAATTCTCACTGCCCACCTAGAAAGCGCTGTGCCCACGTCATTTTTCAACTCCTGCCCTGTTCAGTTTACCTTTGCTGTTTGCCACCCTCTCTTACATGATGTGATCTCAGGTTCTCTCACAGAAGAGAGCTCTGAAGTCGACGCTGCTACCTCCATTCTCAGACATGGAGGAGCTGGGACCCAGGGGGCCCTGCCACTGGACTTAAATCCCCAGCCAGTAAATGGGGAAGTCACAGTTCCCGGCCCCCCCCGGACACCACCCACCTCACAAGTGGCGCCTCCTTCCTCAAACAATGAGCCTGGGCCCCGACACTGCAGAAGGGTGAGAGGCGTAGAAGGCTCAAGCACCGCCAGGGCCTGAAGGGCACATGGTCGGCTGGCTGCCTGCGAGGAACCATGAACACCTCTAACTTTTCACTGGGAGGGAAAAGGGGTTCTTTGTTCAGTTATTTCATATTCATTACACAGATTTGAAAGACCTTTTACATGATCTCCCACAAAGTCTGCCTCCTTTTTTAAGTTCTCTCCCTGGAGCTACAGTGCTAGAGAGAATTTTTTATGAAAAAAATAATTAAGCTTCCTCACAGAGAAAATCCCCTAAAGTAATTTATCATAAAGAAAAATTCTAGCCCAACCTTTTTCCTACTCGAAAGTACTAATTTAATTTTACAGCAGAACAGCTCCGGGATCCCAGGAGCTGGTTCGGGGGGTGGCCCAGCTCGGCCTCTTACTGGCTCCGACTCATGAGCAGGGAGCACACGGAGCACAGGTTTCCACTTTGCCACGTGTGACTCTAACCGCTTCCAAAACGAAGCTTCAGCCAGTGCGTGCCAGAATCTGCTTTGCGGGTTGGTTGTATTCAACTTTAATGAAAATTGGAGTCATTTCTCAGAACAGGATTAGACATTCGGTATTGAAAGGACTCCCAGATGGCTGAGATTCAGACTTTCTGCAAACACGATTCTCTAAACAGACTGCAAGCACCTCTCCCTTCCTCTCCCTTTGCTGTGGCCACCCTGACCTGCGGCCCACAGGGAGGCCAGGCAAGAAAGGAGATCTGGGAGCCAGAGTGAAGGAATTCCCACGGCCGATATGATTCGCAGAGCAGGATTGCACTTCCTGGGACCTAGGGTCTGTTGGGAAGATGCTGGCTTGTGGGGGACATAATGGCGCCCGGGTCTGGGCCAGGTCTGGGGGGCAGGACGTGGACTTCGAGTCTCCCAGCAGCCCCAGAGGTGGAGATCGGGCAGCTCCCTGCCGTGAGGTCAGCAGCAGCGTGGACATCGCCCGCCAAGGCTGAAATCTCCGTCCTGTGGCCAGGCGGCTCTGGGACCCACCTCTCCGATGCTCAGGATGACCTCGGCATTTCCACCTCCTAGTTCACTCGTGTGCTCCGTGTTGGGTTTGTAAAACTCATGTGCATTTTGTCCTTAGAGGAAACCTTACACTTCGTTACTTTTCATCTGTGAAAAGCAGGTTGGCCCTAAAGATTATGTCATGTGCCCCCAACATAGCGAAGGCCTTTAGGACGTAAATCGGACAGTGTAGCTTCCTGAGCTCCGAGAGGCCGGTGAGAGAGGCCACAGGGAGCCGCGTGAAGCCCTGCAGACTCCGGAGCTGAGATGAGGGAAGACAGCTCAGAAAACTGGCAACAGAAAAGGCGTTCGGCTCCGAGCTCCAGGTGGAAAGCAGACGGCGCGCAGAGCAGACGGCTGGCTTTATTTTGAGTAAAGGAGCGGCGGGGATTTGTCACAGCCAGACAGTTCAGACTCTGTGACCCCGAAGAGGAAGGGAACACCCGTCCCTTGCCCACTGGCCATAGAGGGGCCCCGAAATGAGCCGGACAGCAGGACACCCTGCGATGCGACTGCCCGTGCACTCCAGCAGGTTCAGTCTTAGTCGCAAAGCTCCGGTGAGCACAGTGTTAAGGAGGAAAAGAGAAGCAAAGTGCAGAGTATTTACCTCGAGAGAAAAGCGGTTCCGGGCAGAAAGCGGGCGCTCTTCCCATGGCCCCTCCGCACTTCCGCCTAGAGCAGCCTTCAGGCCACCGACCGAGCTAGTGCCCACGCCTGCCTGTGACCGGCAAAATGCCCACGGGGCCCTCACCGAAGCCCCTCTCACCCAGGAGGGAAAAACCCTTCCAACTGGGGTCATAGTATTTTCTTTATCAGTCCATGTTTGCTGTACATAATGTTCACGTTCTTCGTGTGCAGCTGGTAAAGTGGAGGCATCTTAATCCTAACTGATCTCAGTTCCTCTTCATCCCCCTCCCTCCCTGTATCTCTGGGTCCTCTTCCCATTTGAGAAGGATCTGTCTCCCTACTTCCTATTACCTATCTCTTTTACTTTGCTCTTTATTTATAGTTTGGGTTTCTCATATAAGAGAAACCATGCAGTATTTAAACTTGTGTGTCTGATTTACTTCACTTAATTATGGTCTCAAGATGCATCCATTTCCCCACAAATGACTGAAATTTATCCTTTTTCCTGGTAGAGCAATAGTCCATTGTATGTAAATACCACATTTCCCTTTTCCATTCATCAGTTGATGGCCATATAGGCCACTTCCAAGATTTAGCTCTTATGAACTGTGCTGCTATAAACATAGGTGTGCATGTATCACTGTAGTGTGATGTCTTAAGTCTCAGGAAACTGCCTACAAGGGGATTTTTAAAACCAATTCCCCACTATCCAGCCTCACAAAAGCCATCAAAGTTTATAATGAAAAGAATTAAGAATAAGTACCCTACTTTGAAGTTGAGCAACTATAGACATCATATTTTGTTGTTCTCAGTTCACCTCAACCCTATTTGTCAGAAATACACAAAAGTTGTAATTCCAAGATCATTCCAAAATCAGGGAATGAAATAAAAGTTTAAAAGTTTGGGAAACTTAGGCAAAAATTCTAATATCCTTGAAAATACTGGAAAAATCTATCAGAAAAATATACATAAACAATTCCTGCTAGTCAAAGTGAATACAATAAAATTTCAATGTCATGTTTTATATCTCATTAGGAATATGGGTTTTATTTTAATAGAAATACAAAAATGATGCAACACTGCTTAGAAGTTCAGGGCTCCCAGAATGTCTCTGTGTTTAGAGCATGGCCTCTTACCTCTTACCTCCAGGTCACTTGTGTGTACTGCATGGTCTTTCTCCTAGTGAATTTCCAGTTTAAAGGTTATACTGATAACCTATGCCTTAGATGTTTCAGATTCAACATGTAACTTTAT